GAATAAATAATTTTCGAGCAAAATTTAAATGGCCGGCTGAATATATTACCGCAGGAGCCGCGGCCGCAGAATTTAAATGACCATGTCAAAGGGTTAAGGATCAGCTGTTCCATCTGTACATTATGCACAAAACATGGATGGCAGGCATCCCACCATATGCCATGAAATATTCCAGTCTCTCAGAGTTAGCAGAAAGGAAAGTATGATTTGGCACTCTTTAAATACAGCACTTTTCCTTATGTCTTCTACCGGCATTTGTAGCATTTCTGTTGCATTCTCATAGCACAAGTGCATGTTTGCAAATTAAGTACATGAGTAGCCACTGGATGTGTATGTGATGTGCTTTCCCAAGCTTAGCTTGCTTGGGACTAATTCAAATTGTAATATGTGTTACAGTACAAGCCTCTAATTATGAGACTTATGAGGAATGGAGAAACTGGAAAAATTAAAGGTGTGGCAGACAACATGGATCAATGACTACTACCTGAGCCAAAACATTTACTGTACTTAGTGTCAGTTTTAGTGCTGTCAAAAGTCACTCTGAGAGTATCACTGTTCCCACAGTCACTACCACTGACACTACCAGGACTGAGGTTAACCCCTTGAGCGTGACTTTAAGCGGAGCCATTTAAATCTCTAAGCGTGTGCGACGCACCGTCTGCGTCCTCTCAAACCCGTGCTGTAAGCGTGCGCGCCGCATATGTTGCGTCCAAACTTTTCACTAAGAATTCTTAACACCTACGCTCTGATGTATGTACTTCCAGTGAATGTTTATGTAAGCTAATACTGACTTCTTTCATTCCTCGCTATCTGTCTGTGTGTGGTATTTTTTCTACTCACTTTGCTTGGGACAAAGCATTTGGTGTCTGCTGCTTACGAAATAATTGTTCCAACTCACACTCCGACTTGCCTTCAGAGAGATAATTTGTTAGCTAGCTTTCACTGAGTGCTTGTTATCTGTGTGTGTGTGTGTGTTTTTTTTACTGGCTTGGCTTACTGGCGACAAAGAAGCTGTGTCTGATTTACGATGTTACAAACCTAGGGGTTGAAGTTGCCTGACGCCTGTGTCAACATTTAAGAATTTGTTATTCCTTTTCTGCTTTGCGACACACTCTTATCGGAGCCCCATGGCATTTGGTCATGTAACTTGTCTGACGGGACAGTTTCTTGCCCCTGACGCTAATAAAATAGCGCTTTCAAATTGGGTTCCCACAACTTCGAATGAAATTAGGATATTCCTAGGTTTCCTTATGCTGATGGGAATAATTCAGAAACCAAGCCTCACGATGTATTTTAGTAGGAAACATATGTTAGAAACACCATTTTTTCCCAGTGTAATGAGTGAAGGAAGGTTTCCATTTCTGACCAGGTTTCTCCATTTTGTAGATACCACCTATAAGGAAATTGCAAAAAGAGATCCTAAATTGTACAAAATTCTTCCGGTAAGTGAATATTTGAAAAATAAGTTCTAGAAAGTGTACATACCGGGCCAAGAGGTAAGTGTCGATGAATCTTTGTTATTGTGGAAAGGTAGACTTTCGTGGAAACGGTATATTCCTATGAAAGCTTCCCATTTTGGGTTTAAATTTTTTGAACTTTGTGATTCTGCAGGATATTTGTGGAATTTTATAATTACAGTGGATCAGGGATAAAATTAGGCTGTGAAATCACCAAAGACACAGATCTTTTCTCAACAAAAGTTGTTCTAAATTTGTGCGAGAAACTATTAGACTCAGGCAGATGTGTTAAATGGACAATTCTTATAGCAGTCCCGATCTTTTCTAGAGATTAGTTCAGAGGACAACAGATGCTGTTGGAACAGTGAGTATTACGTGCAAAATTATGCCAATAGATCTAAAAAAGAAATTGAAGAAAGGAGAAGTAGTTAGTGCAAAGTGTGGGAAATTGGTGGCGTTGAAGTGGAAGGATAAGCGCGATGTCTCAGTGCTGACTAATAAACATTCAGACGAAATGCAACCCGTAAGTCGAAAGGGTGGATTAGAATTTGTAAATAAACCTATGTGTGTAATAGAGTATAATAAATATATGGGAGGTGTAGACTTGAAAGATCCGCTACTAGAAACATTCTTGCTAGAAAGGAAAAGGCAAAAAGCGTGGTACAAGAAATTATTCAACCACTAAGTAAATATGGCAGTGTTGAATGCTTACATTCTGTACTGCAAGGCTGGTAACAAGAAAGATCATCTGTTATTCAGAATAAACTTAGTGAATAAGATCATAGCAAAGTCCCATGGACAGAATTTAGAAAAGCACAAAGGGAGTCCTTCAGATACCGACATTGAATGTATGAGATTGACAGGTCAGCATTTCATTCAAGAAAATCCCCAAAGCGAAACTTATAAAGGTGGAAGAAGAAGGTGTGTGGTGTCTACACAAAACGGAAAGAGAAAAGAAACCAGATACAGGTGTAAAAACTGCCAGGGACACCATCTCTCTGCATAGACCCCTGTTCTGAGCAATTCCACACCAAGGTAAACTACTAGACACTGGATATGGAGGGCTGGGAAAAAGAAATAGCTTGACAAAATGTAAATACATATTTATAATAATGAACTGTAAACAATTGTAAATATAATATAATTTTTTGGAATTTTTCAAATAGCGATTTCGTTGCTTAAAAATATTTAGATAAATGTCTGCACAAAACCTTCAATGCTTGCGAAAATAAAGCACTGGGAGGGATTTAAATACCCCCGCTTAAACTCACGCTAGATGCATGTAACTGAGCGGACGCATATGGTGCGTCGCACACGCTTGAGGGGTTAATGAATGTATGGTCTGTTACATCTGGAACAATCCCATCTCTTTCCCAATATTGGTGTCCAAGTGTTTCTGTGAGTCTATAAAATCCTTCCCAGTCTTCTTGTGTCAAAAGTGCCACTGAATTTTTGTCACTTGTAGCAATTTTTGTAGGCTCAATCTCCTGTGATGTTTTCATGCACAGTTCTCTTTAGTGTGGCCCACACAAGTTCTATGGAATTTAAACCACATATAACGAGTTAATCTAACTATTGTATGACTACATTTTTCCAACATGTGTTTAATTTTGTAAATCTTTTCTTTGGGTTTCAATGGAAGAATTAGGTTGTACAGCTCATTTTCCACATGGTCTCATTACAGTTCATGCTTTCTTGCAGAGCCAGGAACTCAAGTCTGCTTTTACTGTGTAAGCTGATGGTGGTTTGTCAATTAGTACACAGTGATACAGTGAACTGTGAACACACTGTGTGTGTGTGTGTGTGTATGTGTGTATGTGCTGAGAATCAATTTTTTGACTACCCATTTCTCAAAGTTCACATTATTCATCTGACCATGGCAGTCATCCATTGCATTTCCTGCGCAATATGTAAGCTCCGCATCAAGAAGAAACCCGTTAATTCCTTCCACACGCAACATGATAAGCCTGTTTGCAGATTTCACATTGGTCTAGACACCCACAATTTCTTCATTTTCCAGCATTTATGAAAGGTTAGGTTACTGTCATCCCACGATTCATCAATATAAAATATTAAGTGTCCCTTATCCTGGTACTCCTCCATTTTTATCAGTCAAAAATGTTTGCTCTGGTAAAAGAATTTTTCTCTTTGACCGGCATTTTCTCCATGTATATTGCATGTTTTTACAAACCTCTCCAATGATTTACGGCCCCAACACAAACGTATTTTCTGTTTTACAATGGGTAGCAGCTCTGGTAATGTTGATACTGCATTCCTGAATTGTATTTCTGGTAACACACATATCAAAGTAATCCACAAACACAATGTTACATGATGTTCTCATCTCTCTCCTTGTAATTTCAGAAGCTGGGTCAGATAAGTAGCATTCCTTTGCTTGCTTCCTCGTGATTCTTAATATAAGTACAGAAGACCAGGAATTCCCTGTGTAAGCTGCTACCCTCTCTGTTGCCTTATTAATAAGCAACAACAATAATGTTTGACATGATTACTCATTACAGTTCTCAATTACACTTGTTATTATTTCCATAACCTATCAAAGAATGGTATCATTCTGTGGTGGCAGCATCATTCTGGCACTTGACCTGAACACAGTTATTACAGTAGATGTTTCTATTCATACATACTAAATAAAAAAATCTGTCAGTGGCCACTATGACCTTAAATGATGCTGTACACTTTAGAGATACAAACACAATTGCTTTAGTTCAGTCTGCTTGAGCACTACACATATACAATAGTGTTCAATGTGTTCTGAAATGATGCTATATGTAGCAGGTAGGTCTGTTTCTATTCCCTTCCCCTTCATCCACCCCTTCTTTTTTCACTCCACTTCCTCATCCTGCAAGTCTCAAGATTAGAGTCTCTACCAGTAGTGCTGTCTATAGGATTATACTATATATCTGGAGTAAGACAGTCAGGAAGGGCAGCACCATAGCTCGAGCAGTTAGTCACTGGCTCCCACCGTGGCAGCCCAGGTTCGATCCCGGGTCTGGTAAAGTGGGATTTGTGGTGGACAAAGTGGTGCTGGGGCAGGTTTTCTCCAAGTACTTCGATTTCCCCTGCCAATCTTCATTCCACCAATTGCTCCACAATCACCCTCACCTATCATCTGGGACTGGTACAATAGGCCAGAAGTAGCCACAGTGCAAGGGACTTAGTCCCACCCCACTAGCAATAATAAAAAAAAAAAGACTGTCAGGTATTGTCAATGTTACCACAAAATTTGGCATCATTATGATAGTTACATTCATTTTGTAACACAAATAAAATGTTTTTGGAATGCCTGTTTTTTATGGACAGGTGCTGACATTTTCTAATGGTTATATCTCTTCAAGGAACACCTACATGGTATATATTCATATGAACTTTTTAAAATTATTTTAATGTCTTGAAACCATCCTCTAAAACAGAGCATATAATAATGAGCCACCCTACTTACTACAATTGAGAGAGACCAGAAAGCCATTCTTGCAAAGGTACTAAATGACTTAAAGCTTAGAATTTTATAGCTGCAGAACATACCTGACACAAAAATTTCCTTTCAACACGATGAGTGTTTATTTTGTGGTTAGTGAGCTGTATGCGTTTTGCAAATCTCTTATCACATTCTTCACATGAAAATGGACCTTGTTCTGTTTCATGACGGTTCACTTTGTGCTTCTGGAGGGACGTTCGGAACTTGAACGTTAGGCCACATTCATCACAGAAGAAACTATTAGCACCCCTGTGAAACCAAACACATTGTAACACCCATGATAACTATTGTTTAGCATGTATATGAGGTAGATATAATCGATTTAAAGAATCCAAATACTATTCTATGAAGTAATGCCCATACTCCATTTTAGGTTCTCATTGTGGTGACTATGAAGTGTACTATCTTCTGGGACGGATCCTGTGTAGTCTACCAAGACTATGTGGCATCACATTTTGTAATGGGTGTAAATAGCAGAACATCATGCAGACCTATTTTTAATGAATTAAAGATTTTAACTCTTACCTCCTTGTATATCTTTGAGATGTTGTCCTACTTTCAGAAATATTATGAGGAATTCAGATTTATATGAATGTACGTAAGTCGTACTGAAAGTCATGAGCAACTTTTTTTGCATGCAACCTGGGAACAGCAGATGAAAGAGAGTATGGTGGTAGGTGGAACCAGCTGTTGTGTTAACCTTGAGTGTCTTGTGATGTCAATAGCTTGCATCATGTGACCAGTATCACTACTAACAAAATGGCCGACGATATGTCGTTTCGCCAGCGTACTGTCATCGAATTTCTTGTGAAAGAGGAAATCCCTGCTGCAGAAATTCACCAGAGACTTCAGCGTGCTTATGGAAGTGTGTGCATGGGTGTGAGCAGTGTTCAAAGATGGGTGAAACATTTTAAAGATGGGAACACCAGCATTGAAGATGAGCCTTGGAGCGGTCGTCCTCGAATAGCCTCAACTGAACACAGCAAAGAAAGAGTGGATGAGATCATTCAAGATGACAGGCGTGTGACTGTGGACACAATAGCCCGAAAACTTGGAATAGGGCACAGTGCAGTACAGGAGATGATTGAAAGCTTGGGCTACAGGAAAGTTTGTGCTCGTTGGGTCCAGTGGTTATTGACCGAAGACCACAAAGGTCAGCAAAAAGCCGTCACCTCAGAACTGCTGCAGAGATATGGACACGAAGGCGATGATTTTTTGTTCTGTATTGTGACAGGTGACAAAAGCTGGTTTCACCATTTTGAGCCTGAAACGAAATGGCAGAGTATGGAATGGCACCATTTGCATTCACCATCAAAAAAGGAGGCAAAGACAGTGCCATCAGCTGCGAAGGTGATGGGCACAGTCTTCTGGGATGCAGAGAGGTTTATTCTGGCCGAATTCCTGGAACCTGGGCAAACCACCAATGCTGCTGGTTATGTCCAGACACTGCACAATTTCTGTCATGCATTGTGCGATAAACGTCTGGGACGAAACATCATCATCCTGCATGACAACGCTCGCCCCCATGCTGCTCGCCTCACATTGGAAGCAATTGCAAAGATGGGGTGGGAAGTTCTTCCACACCCCTCCCATAGCCCTGATCTGGTACCCTCCAACTACCATCTTTTCAGATTTGTGAAGGATCAGCTGCGTGGACGTTTTGAGACAAGGGAGGCAATTCAGAAGCAGTGCGTCGGTGTTTTTGGGAGGCTGGAACGGAATTTTACAAAAGCGGAATTTTCAAACTCCCAGAACGCTGGGAGAAATGTGTACAAAGAAGTGGGGATTATGTGGAAAAATAAAGAAAGGTCTGTAAATTGAGGTGGTGCATTTGGTTTGTAAATAATTAAGCATGTAACTTTACAAAAAATTGTTGCTCATGACTTTCAGTACGACCCTCGTATTACTAGAAGGAAAGATGATTTTCAGGTGCCAAATTGTAACATATCAACTTTTAAGAAAAGTGTTATCAATATGGGTATCAAACTGTAGAATAGACTGCCTTTGGAATTAAGAAAATCAGATGGCTTTAAAGACTTTAAACATGGGCTACAAGTATTTTTACTAGATCATCCATTCTATATATGAGGGGGGACCCAAAAATAACCGGAAATGACCTGTTGCGCGCGCATGCTTTGTAGTTACGAGTTGTGCTGCTAGGTGGTGTTAGCGGGGGGTCTCCCGCAACTGTTAGTGAGCTGGCATCAGTCTGAGTTAAGTGGTTTGTCTGTGGTGCTCTGTTGTGTGCGTTCCTGTTTCAACCCTTTGGCGATTAGCGAGATGGCCGACCAGAAGGAACAAAGAGTGCGCGTGAAATTNACCTAGCAGCACAACTCGTAACTACAAAGCATGATCGCGCAACAGGTCGTTTCCGGTTATTTTTGGGTCCCCCTTCGTATTGTATGAGTTTCTCTTAGAGGGACAGTAGTAAGCACAGCAAAACCTCTATTCAGTAATTGATACAGATAACAAATGGTTGCTTGTAGTATCTCAATGTGGTCGGTGATTGATATGGTCATATGTAGGACTCTTTGATTTACTGTAGTACTCTTAAAATTCTCTTGATAAACTCATAAGGTTAACTTGCATTTTGATTTACATATTGTATCTAATTTGATTATTTATCTGGTTTGATATTGTGTTATATTATAATTATAGGTTACCCATGTCAAGAGTGATTATTTATTGTTGAAAAATTCTACTCCTTTAGGCATTTGGTCAAAAAGATTTAAAGAATGATGTATTTAATGATTTGATTTGTTCAAGTGTTACTGTTGTAGGAATTATGAATGCCAAATAAAATGAATGAATGAATTACAGTGATGAAAAAAGACAGTCACTGGGACTTCAAATACCTTTTCACTGAATTATCAAAATTATGAGACTACTGAAGAGACTTCAGTAATTCACATGCTTATCACATTCCTTGTTGATTTTAATGGACATCCACTCTCCTCTGACATGGATATACAGACCATGAAAAATACAACTGTCTGCTTATCTGAGGCAAGCTGACTTTATGAGATGACACATTACTTACTTATACTAACAGACCATAAGCACCTATTTTTATGTAGGACATGAGAAACAAAATATTGTGACGTATTGCACTATGGAGGACATCCAGAATGAGTTCTTCAGTGTAAGCATCAATCTTTTAGACTTATGTTCATGAAATTCAGTGACGACATAAGGTCTCAACAATTCATATAAAGTAAACATGCTTTTCCAGAGCATTCCATTTATGTTAAGTACTTTCTTGCATAAGCTCTATTTCTCTTTTTACTGATGTTTTTGTAAACAAAATGCTATTCTACAAAAACTTAGTAGCAATCAATATATAGTTTGTGCCATAGCTTAAGTGGTTAGTCGCTGGCTTCCCACTGCAGCGGCCCAGGTTCAATCCTGGGTCTGGTCAAGTGGGACTTGTGGTGGACAAAGTGGCACTGGGGCAGGTTTTCTCCGAGTACTTTGGTTTCCCCTGCCAATCTTCATTCCACCAATTGCTCCACAATCACTCTCACCTATCACTGGGGCTGGTACAATAGGCCAGAAGTGGCCGCAGTACAAGGGACTTAGTCTAACCCCACTAGAAAGAAAAAAAATCAATATATAGTTCAAATTTGCAGGGGCCCTGAGTGCAGGAAGGTAAATGACACAACATGTGTGCCATCATCCAATATTTGTGACACAATCCATAATTGTACCCCTTCAGTTCCCTGAATTTTTCTAGTCACCTCTATATAATTATCCTAAAGTGTATCAGAGATTCTGATGAACCTAATCAGTTGATTTTAGGAAGCAGCTTAGATGAAAATTGCAACTTTTTGAAAATTATGATGTACTTTAACACTTATCATTAATTGTAATGGGCTTCTTGTGTCAGAAATGATTTACAGCCATTACAAGGTAAGAGCATCGACAGACATTCAAAGCGCTATATTGTTTCTCTGTTCATTTAACAACACTCTGTTGACTGCTCTGGTTATACAGAGTTAGAAGAAAGATGGCATGATAATTCTATTAATACATACATATGTTTCACATTTCACAAGTCCAAAATACAATGAACATAAAACTGGCCACAAGCATAACACAAACAAACAAACAAAGGAGAAAGACAGTACAAAGCTAAAGAATACTCTAACTAATCATTTACTGTATGCTCCAAAAATTCATCAACTGTAGATAATGAGTTATTCATGAGACACGAAAATAAATTATTTTTAAAACTGATTCTGTCCTTTCTAAGGCTTTGAATGGTCCTTGGCAATCTATTAAATAACCTAATACCAGTAAACATAATGCACTTCTGGAAAACAGAAAGATCTGAAGTTGGTATACTAATTTGATTTTTGCTTCTAGTGTTCAGGCCATGAACCTCTGAACCTGAACAGAAATTATTTTGATTATCTGTCACAAACAACATCAAGGAAAAAATATATTCACATGACAATGGTAAAATGTCTAATTTCTTAAAAAGGCTTCTACATGAGTCTCTGGGTCCCACTCCCAATATGATCCTTATTACTTTCTTTTGTAATTTAAAAACTCCAGAATTATTAGTCGAATTGCCCCAGAGGACCATTCCATACTTAATGATAGAATGAAAGTAGGAAAACTACACCATTTGCAGGGCTTTTAAATTCATAAAATAAGATAAAATCCTAATTACAAAAATAGCAAAACTGAGTTTAGGAAGGATGTATTCCACATGACTCTTCCAATTCAATTTATTATCAATTTGTATACCCAAAAGTTTTATTACACTGACTTCATTCATTACCACATTTCCAAAGGATACTTCCAGCAAAGAGTTGGCAGAATGTTTAGGAGCAAAATTAATAATATTAGTTTTGTTAATATTTAAGATCAACTTGTTTGCTATAAACCAATTTACAATGAGAGACAAGGTATCCACAACTTTGTGCTTAAGCACAAAGTGATTTTTTCCAGTGACCAAAATACTGGTGTCATCCATAAAAACACTGGTAAATTTATTGATGCATATTGGCAAGTCGTTAATATAAATAACAAACAGAAGTGGTCCTAAGATTGACCCCTGAGGAACTCCTTGCTTACCTCTTTTTCATTTGGAGAAATAATCATTATCATCAATTTTGAGATGCACTCTCTTGTTTTCTATCTGATAGACAGGATTTAAACCAATTTAAATTATAACCCTGAACACCATAATACTCTAATTTGGAAATCAATATCTCATGATTAACACAATCAAACGCCTTGGCAAGGTCACAAAAAATCCCAACAGTTAGATGCTTATTATCCCAGGTTTGAAGTATGTCAGTGGTAAGCGAAAAAGCAGCATGATCAGTTGATAAGTCTTTCTAAAACCAAATTGTTCCCGCACAAAGATATTATTCACTTGTAGATGCTGATGTAATTTATGATACATAGTTTTTCTAAAACTTTACTAAATACAGTGAACACAGAAATAGGTCTACAGTTTGCTATGTCAGCTTCATCACATTTTTTATACAAAGGCTTTATGACTGCATACTTCAAACGATCAGGAAATGCACCAGTCATAATAGACATGTTGCAAATATAAGAAAAAGGCTCACTTATAGCAATGCTACACAATTTTAATATTTTTGACGTGATACCATCACAGCCAGAAAACTTCTTTGATTTTAGGGAACAAATTATACTAATAGTTTCTCCCGTAGTTACAGGAATTACTTTCATACGTGGAAAAGCAGTCTGATAAGCATTCTTTAATAATCCAAAAGGTGAATTACTATTATAAACATGTGTTCGTAAATTATCTGCTACACTCAGAAACTATTCATTGAAAACTTTGCTGCATCTTCAAACTGAAAATTCATGTCATCCATTTTAAATGAAGGCATGTGATTGGATATAGTAGACTTATGAAATACATTTCTCATGATATTCCAAGTTTTGATCCTGTTATTGGAAGTTTCAATTAACTAATGATAATGTAGTTTTTTTACTGGACAAATTACTTTTCTTAAAATGAGAATAATTTTTAAAATAAAGTTTTATTTTTGGATCATTAATATGTATACTAATATTAAGTATATAAATTCTTTTACACTGAAAAATATTTTAATTCCAGTAGTAATCCAGCTTTTGTCACTGTCATAAGTAGGACACAAAAACAAAAGAAAATAATCATGACCTATCTTGAGATGTTTTCATGTTTACCTGCACAAAGCCACATGCATTCACACACATATGTAATTGCAGCCAGATATACAGAACTCCTTGTCAATTTCCAAAATTCAAAGGAGAAGTACTACCACTACATTACAATAACTGCAACATTATGCTTACACCTAGTATTTCACTTACTTATGCAATTTCTTTTTATGCAAATTAAGGTCTTTCTTGAACATATATTCCTCAGTACAGATTTCACACTTGTAGGGGCCTTGAGTACAACGTGGAAGATGATAAGACATGCGTCTCATGCTTCGATATTCTTCGTGACACAATCCACACTTGTACTTCTTCAGTGCCTTCAATCTCTCCAGGTTTGTTATCAGCTTATTTCCAGATAACTGTACATATTTATCCTATAAATATAATAAATTTTCTGGTAAACTTAAGCAGTTGATTTTGGGGAGTAAATTAAATGAAAATTGCAACATTCTTGTTAAATGTGTGAGGACCATTTCTTCAGAACTCTAAAATGTGAAGTCTAGACAGCATAATCCTTCTCAAGAAGCTAATACAGTAAGACCTCACTAATTTGGACTTATTGGGAGTGAACCCTTCTCCAAATTATGGACGTGCTACGGAAAATATGTTCAGGGAAGTTATAAAATGGATTTCATGTGTCTTTTTTAGGCAATACAACTTTATTGTGAAATTCAGATTTAACTGTCCCAAAATGTTAAAAAAAAAATGTAAGTTTTGACATCGGTCTTTACAAACATTTTAGGCAGCAGCAATGTGATCATCAAGGCTGTAACACGCCAAAAAAAAAAAAAGTCGTCTGATTTATCACAAATTCCAAATTAGTGAGGTTTTACTGTGGCCATGCCATAGCTCAAGTGGTTAGTCGCTGATGGCCCGGGTTTGATCTGGGGTCTGGTCAAGTGGGATTTGTGGTGGACAAAGTGGCACTGGGACAGTTTTGCCCTGCCAATCTTCATTCCACCAACTGCTCCATTGCTCCACAATCACCCTCACCTATCTATCATCTGGGGCTGGTACAATAGGCCAGAAGTGGCCACAGTACAAGGGACTTAGTCCCACCCCACTACCAATAATAAAAAAAAAAGGTTTTACTGTAATTCCTTAGTTGAAGAAAGGTTTTTTTTTCTCATGGAATGCAAAGATTCATTACCATGTTCATAACACCCAGCTCTGGGCCCTATCCTGGTCAACTAAATCCAGTCTACATGACCATACACTTTCTTTATCATCATCTTTAATATCACACTCCTATCCATGACTACCATTTTAGTCTATTTTCCTTATTTTGAAAAAAATTAAAGGAGGCTCACAAAATCGCCTTGCTATCTGTGTATCCCCCTTAATTTTTTTCATTTTCTATGTGGTATTCATATCAAAGGAAAGCAGGTAATTAGTTCTTCCAGAACTTCTTGTTAATGCTTGTTTTTAGCTTACATATCAGTAATACAAACATGGTAGATGCCTGAACTTGTGAGCAACACTGATTATTGGTGGCTAATGAACTACTGAATATAAAGCACACCCTCACTAATCCAAATTAATTCTGGGGCAGGTCATCCAGATTAAATGATTAACCAGATTAGTGAAGCAAAAGGTAGCCTTAAAAGACAAAAAACTTACAACATGAACAAATGGAAAATTTAATAAGTGCTGCTGAAAATAAATAAATATCACCGTAAAGCTTTTATTGAAAAACTAAAAAAAGGCAATATGTTTATTCATTGATAGAAGACTCAAAAGTTGTACCTATTTTTGAACATAATAATGTAGGTTAGATGAAACTCAAGTTTTGTCTGAAAAACAAGTGACTCATCTGCCTTCCTAAATGCCATGTGTCTAAGTATGCACTGAACTGTGAACAGTATTTTTCATATTTTGAGCCAGATTATCTGACAACTGAATTAGTGAGGGTTTACTGTATAGCATAAACATACAAGAAATATTAAGACTACAGTCTTCTGGAATGATGCTTAAAACTGTTATGTTACTCTGACATTTTAGTAACCATCTATCAGACTACACAGCAACACCTGGACAAGTTCACACTTCATGCCTGAAATGATATTTGGAAGTAAATAGTGACAAACATAGCAACAGTGGAAGAATGTGCTCATCATATCTGACAAATGTAGCGTATACCAAATCTGTATTTATGCAATAAATCATTCGCAAAAATGTACCATAAAAATAGCAACAGATCTATAGGATTAGAAATCAATGGAAGGAGAAAGTGAGTTGACTGAGCTTTATGCAGCTTGTTTGAAACTCCTTGTTATTGTGGGGTGGGGGAGGTGGTGAAGGAAGCCAAAAATTTGTTCAGTCTTCACTCCTCTGAAATTTTGGATCCAAGAACCATTTAACTGATGTCTTGCTCTCTGCCAGCAAAAAGATTACATTCATGGCCTGGAGAGTACAAATCTGCTGATCACACAAAAAGAAAAAGAAACCTGCTTACCAGTATGGTCCCTTCATTTAGGCAGTTTCCTCCATTCTTACAAATATGAACCTCAAACTCCTTGTGAGTTTTGTATACCACTAAACATGTCTTACAGCATAAGAAAGGCAAATTCTCAGGCAATAACTGAATTTCATCATTCAGCCCTGTAGAGTCTTCAGAGACAGTGCATAACCCATTGCTGATTTCTTCAGTGGCGATGTCATTTCCCACTTTATGAGTCTGCAATGAAACATACACAGGAATATATGAATATGGATCAGGAATAGAAAGGTGTTCACCAGTTTTCATATAGTGCAAATACATTCTGTGTTTCTGAATGTGTTCTGATGTTCCTTTTCTTCAGACTGAAGTACCAATTTTTTGTCTAAGTTTACCTTAAAATAAACTGTACTAAAACAATTAAATTTCTTAATTCCTAAATCACACATCATTAATGAACTCTTACTTAACACTTGTAATTATGTGTACATTAGACTAATCGTCTATATGCATCTTTAATAAACTTAAATATTCTTATGTATGACTTGAGGTTTTCACAGCGGTGACTATGAAGAAAGGCGTCTTCTGGGATGTGGTGCCATGTAGAAATTGTGTTAATCAATGTTTCGGAGGAATGCATCGCCTCCATCTTCAGGGTAGGAGACAAGAAGAAATCCGCGAGCGAACCAGCAGAGCAGGTGCAACAGACTGAGTCCAGCTGAGTAAACACAGCTGTACAAGAGGAGAGAAGGAGTGTGGCTACAGAGGGAAACAGTAGAGAGGGGGAGGGGGAAGGGTCTGGTGGAATAGACAGCAGGTAGTGGGCCAGAGCTGGTATAGAGTATGTGTTAGGGGGAGAGAAGGGAAGGTTAAATGGAGGGCATTAATCCTGTAGCTCGGGGGCTGCGATGGACCTGAGTGGCCTATAGGGTCTGCCCTATTTCGGAGGTTATTTGAGGGAACAGATGAAGGCTTCGATAACTTGCTGAGACAAAACCCCACCTCTCTGTTCATATTGTCGGGATGGAGGTCAATCTCAATGGCCTCCCTAATGATGCGATCCATATAACGGGTCTTGATGGCGAGGATGGAGGTATTATGAAGCTGAATGTGATGTCCCAAATCAATACTATGTTCAGCAACAGCTGACTTGTCTGGATGTTCGAGACGGATGTGCTGCTGATGCTCCTTCAACCTCGTGTCCACAGAATGGCCTGTCTGCCCAGTATAGACCTTGCTGCACTCGCATGGGATACTGTATACATCTGGTGTCCTTAGTCCCAGGTTTTCTTTGACCGGCTGGAGGCAGGCTCACTGATTTGATGTTGTGCTGGGACAGCACTCTGCTAATACGGTTGAATATAGTCCCGACATAAGGCAGGAAGGCAACTGAGTCCAGTTTACCTTCGGGCTGACTGATGTTCAGCCGACAGTTGAGAACTCTGTGGATCTGTTCTGCCTGCCCCAGGAGTACCAACTCTGCATGTAGGTTGTCTTGATTGCATAGAGCTCTAGCCCTGTGCACCAATGTCGAAAGTACAGCTCCATCCTGACAATATGAAAAGAGAGATGGGGTTTTGTCTCAGCAAGTCATGGAAGCCTCTCATCTGTTCCCTCAAGTAACCTCTGAAATACTGCAGACCCTATAGGTCACTCAGGTCCATCGCAGCCCCCAAGCTACAGGGTTAATGCCCTCCATTTAACCTTCCCTTCTCTCCCCCTAACACATACTCCATAGCAGCTCTGGCCCACTAGCTGCTGGCTATTCCACCAGATCCTTCCCCTCCCCCTCTCTATTATGTGTATTACCCTATGTAGCCACACTCCTTCTCTCCTTCTCTTATACAGCTGTGTTTACTCCACTGGATTCAGTCTGTTGCACCTGCTCTGCTGGTTCGCTCTTCTAACCTGAAGATGGAGGCAATACGTTCCTCCGAAACATTGGTTAACACAATTTCTACATGGCACCACATCCCAGAAGACGGCTTTCTTAAATATTCTTATTTACCATCGCATTCTGGTTCCAAAATTGAAAGGGTGTGACAGCAATTATCTCATACTACTTACCTCTGTGGTGACACACAGTAACAAGGCTTGTAAATATGAAACAAATCACTTCATGCAATTATTGGCTTGAACAAAAAACAGGACAATGGATAATGTCTAAAAAGCCAATAACAGTATTAATATATCATCATCACAAACTTTTAGATCTTAAATCACTTTATGCATTAAACCATACATTTTGTCTTCATGACAAAACAACTGAGAATATGGATGATTTTTACATATTTTGCCATAGTATCTCTCATAACAACAGTCAGGGAGCAAAGAGAGATGTAAACGGGGATCCAGAAGGATTTTACATTATAAATACCAATGATCAGTTAACAAAACTATATATTCTTCTAAATGAAGCTTACCCTGCTTGTATGTGCAGTTAAGAATCTTCGTGCAGTGAACACCATTTCACAGTGATTACAGCTGTATATTTTGCTGCCTCTAGATTTTGCTTTGGTTGTTGATGATACATCTTTCTGACACTTTGCAACATGTATTACTAATTTTGTTTCAGTAACAAAACTGCTATAAATGGCATAAAAGTCAGGAATTAGTTCTGTCTGTCACCTATTTATTGCAAACACAATGAAGGAATAGAGTACAGAATTGAGAGTGAAGAGAAAATGTGCAAGAAGAAAGTAATTCCAGTTTACTTCTACTCTTCCAAATTATACAGGAAGCTGTTTATTCTTACACCACAGTTAAAGTTTTACATGACTGCTCAAATTGTCATATAGCATACTCCTGCTTATCTGGGGTTCAGTTTGCCCATATGGCATTTTATGAGCATTCACAACCTTGCAGAGTACTTATTAAGATCACTCAGTGTGTCTATCTATGGTACAAATGGTACATGTGAAACAACTCAAGAACTACTGGATGGATTTTAATAAAATTTTTAACAACACTTTGCATGAAGAGCAATATGCCCTCCTGCATGAAACTCAAGTGTAAGTTGCTAAATGTTTAAATTTTATTTTTTGAATTCTTATTATAATTTGACAAAATATAAATTTGGCCTACATTTTTACTTTAGTACCTAAATGTATTTTTTACTGTTAAATACACATGTAACTGAAAAATATTACAGCTAAAATATTTCATGTCATCTATATATTTTTCATACAGTGAGACTGATCAAGTGGGTACTTTGATCTAACTAACTGCTACTTGCCGATTCCTGAATGTAAAATGATGAAGACAGAAATCAAGAAATTTAAAAACTCTGTGATATTAGTCTGCAAGTGAACTATGCTGACAGAGTGACAGCTGCTTGTCGGCAAATTTAGTGCCAATTTCAGCGGATAGAGGGTGTCGTGTGATCAGTGCAATGAATCCCCATGGCCATTACTTTCAGTTTTCTAGACCGGACCCGCTATTTCCTTGAAAGAGTTCCTCAAATATCATCACAAGGCTGAGTGGACCCCGTTCCAGACCCACTACTTCTCAGAAAATATCTGGTAGAGCCGGAAACGAACCCAGACCTCTGGATCTGTAGCCAGGAACTATGACCACTAGACCACAGACTAAGATATACATAATGTAAAATTACAAATCACAATACCAGTTGCAGCAGCTATTTGCTTGTTATAATAGATCCCTTCCCATGTATAGTCCTATCACTTTACCATTACCTTAGGGCTTGCAAGAGGGTAGAGATGTAGGTATGGATTTGTTGGCAAATACTAACAGTTAATTGCCAGAAGATTACTTATATTCAGTTGTATCACTATACCTGATTGGCCACTGCTTTTCTGTGAGTAATTCTGCCATATAATTTGATATTGTCATGTGTGACTAGACATGGGGTTTGGTTTGATAATTGGATTGATTAAACATTTGTAACTTGTTGCTGCAAATAATTATAACATTTTCACTAATCTACATGCTCTATAAATCACTCTAACTAATGCACACATAAATCTTCTGGCTTCACTAGTCATTGCTTGGTAGCGGTGTCTAAAAATGCAACTCAAGATTCTAAACTGGTAAACACCCACTTTGACCTCTGACTCATGGCTCATGTTTCCTGATAGTTCTCCCCATGAATCCTTGGCACGGACTGCACAGAAAACATCACTTCCAGCAGTTCCTCTATTGCTGAGTGTTTATTTGTTGCCACAGACACGTGTTTACCATGCTATTTCCTAGCAATGGGTACCTTTATTTGTTAAACTAATCTGGCTCTCACCGGTCATATCACAATGTAGATGATAGGTAACAAATGATGACCATATGCTTGCTAACATACCACTAGTCATTGCTTGGTAGTGGTGTCTAAAAATGTAACTTAAGATTCTAGACTGGTAACCTCCCACTTTGACCTCTGACTCATCGCTCATGTTTCCTGATGGTTCTCCCCATGAATCCTTGGCACGGACTGCACAGAAAACATCACTTCTAGCAGTTCCTCTATTGCTGTGTGTTTATTTGTTGCCACGGACACGTGTTTACCATGCTATTTCCTAGCAATGGGTGCCTTTATTTGTTAAACTAATCTGGCTCTCAGCGGTCATATCACAACGTAGATGATAGGTAACAAATGATGACCATATGCTTGCTAACATCATGGCGCTAAACACTCCAGTGCACAGCTATCAGCAAACTGACCCACACTCTTTTTCAGGGTTCAGTTTCTCACAGTGGACTCATGAAACCAATCAGCCACCATAAAATAATAATACTGTAAAGACTCTGAGTTTATATCTTACCAATTAGATACTGTCCAACTTTACCTGTTGCACATCTCACACTTAAAACATTTACTGACTTCATAAATTTCAGATCCTGTTTCAGTCTTTCTTACTGGTTTTCCTTGATTTTCACTTTTCTTTTGTGATAACTTCTCTGATCTCTGTTTTAATCTTGTACTTCCAGCTTCCTTACTTGATACTGTACTAACAGATAACTTAGAGTTCTTAATGGGAAGTCGAATTTCAGAATGATTATTGTCATCATTGAATAAAGAAAATTCTAATGAGTCCTTCTTTCCAGTTGAATCTTCTGTTTTGATTGACAGCACTACTGGTTCACTCATCCGAGAATCTGACCCTCTTATGTTTAAGTCTGAATTACAGACTGAAATCTGGAGTGTGTCTACAAAATCCTTCTGTTCACTTGTTTCCTGAGAGAGAAGCTGAAAATGTGAAATGTAATTACTTTCAAGAAAAACTTAATTTCATCAATAAATATACTTAAATTTCAAAATAATTAACATATGAATACCTGTAGTTGACTTGCCAGCTCTGTTACAATGGCCAGGAAATGGGCTGTTAATGGATCCAACAATCCTATTTTCACCTTATAATTAAATATCAAGGTTTCAAAAATGTCAAGTGTTGCAGCCTGAAATAAATGATTGCAACATTCACAGTTAATGCACGTTATGGAATGATCTTCATGAACTAAACTCACATCAACCTAACCAACATACATCAAAAATCACTCTGGAATGTACTGGTAGAATATTCATACTTCAATATGCACTTTTAAGCATTTAAATATTCAATTGTTAAACATTGCATGTAAAGAAAACATACAAAACATAAATAACAAACAGTGAACTGTAATTGATTAAATGTTTTATTCAATTTACTGCACACATTTACAATTGCTAACATATTACCTGCTGTCATGGAGTAAAAATATAGCAGAAGGTAATTAAGCACATTTGTAGAAGATTAATCAGTAACTGATAAACAAGACTGTTCTAAGAATAATCACGAACAACAATATATATCTTGAACCTATTGAAGGGTGCACACATATTTCGGATGATTTCAGATTCAAATCTGTATTTAATGAGACTATGGATGTGTATTGTTTTCTTCATGCTGCAAAGATGATCTCAACAAAAGTGTCAGCTACTGAACCTATGTGGGGTTTACAATATTCAACAGACTGAAATACATACTGCTGAGCAATTAGTACCTGATGTTTAAACTGTTACTGAAAAGCTAAGAAGGTATAAACCACCAGATACTAACCAAATTCCATTAGGACTGATCCAAACTGGAGGTGAACATTACTCTATGAGATTCACAGACTTATTAGTTCTTTTTTTTATTTGTTTCATTCTGGTCCATCACACTAACAATATTAGAAATGATAAAACAATTCCATCCAGTGTGACTGTTGAAGCTTTTACTACTTCACTTCATAACACCCTAACATGTTTCGGTCCCTACAGACCATCATCGGAGGGCACATCAATACTTTTAGAAACTACTATTACATTGGGTGTTTTGATTTTTAAAATACATATATATGCAATATTCGTACTACACACTTTATACAAAAGTAAAAACAACACAGCACACTATGAACAAACATAGGACAACAACAAGAATTACCTTCCAAAGAAAGACAGGCGGCACAAGTTCGGCCCTGTCAAGAAAAATGAAAGGACAAGGGACATGAACCTATTTGGTTAAAGAATTTTAACTTAAATAGCAAAAAGTTATAAAAGAAAAAACTTTAATGCATCAAGGACAGTTGCTGTAGTTGTAAGAAATTTGGATTTTGTATAAAGTGTATATTACAAATATTGTATATTTATGTATTTTTAAATCAAAACACCCAATGTAATAGTAGTTCCTAAAAGTATTGATGTTCCTTCCGATGATGGTCTATAGGGTCTATTGTTTTATCATTCTATTTGGAATAAGAAAGGGGTGCCATGGCAGTGGAAGGAACACATTATTGTTAATACTTTTAAAGCAGTGATTAAATTGACTGTCGTAATTACTGAGGGACATCACTTTTATCAAATACAAAATTTTATCCAACATTCTTCTATCAAGGTCAACTCCATACTTTAAATAAAGTACTGGAAATTGTTGGTGTGAACTTTAATGTAACAGATCAATTTTATAAATTATTTGGAGAAACTAGATATGATTTTACATAAACTATACCATGAGAGTTATAATATAATTATATGTGGTGACATAAATGTAAATTACTTATATGATGATAACAGAAAAAAGCAATTATATGCTATTTTGTATTCTTATAATGTTTTTAGTATTGTAACATTTCCCACCAGAGTGGGCATGTCCACAAGTACTATAACTGATAATTTCTTTTACTGATATAACTAGAACTGGTAAATATCATGATGCCCAGGTGTTAATACCACATAAAGTACAGAATCGGGGGCAACATGAAAAGGTTGATAATGACACCATAGCAAATTTTCAATTCCAATTATGCCAGGAAACATGGGGATCAGTCTTTGATGAAAAGACCAACAAGAGTTTCAATTTATTTTTAAATATATATTTGAGATTGTTGAGATCTGTTTTATCCAAATTACATTTAATATACTTGAGAATTTATTACTCTAATTTCCCTTTAATTCAGAAAAAATGTATCCAAAAAAATAATTCTTGGATCACACCAGGAATAATGAAATCTTGTAAACATAAACGAGAAATCTACAATGGACTAAGGAATAAAAAGAATCATAATTTGAGAGTTTATTACAGAAACTATTCTTAAATACTGAGTGTTATATAAAATTGAATATGATAAATTAATCCTATATTCCCACAATAAAATAAAAACTACTTGGAGTATTATAAAGAAAGAAGTAGGTAGGCATACAAATACGATATAAAAAGAAATAGAATATAATAAAATCTCTCAAATTAATAAACTTGTGTGGATATGATGAGATATCACCCATTATTTTAAAAATAAGCTCGCCATTTATTTCACCTACAAACTATATATGCAATAAAATGTTAAGGGGAGGAGTTTTTTTCTGACAGTATAAATTTGTGATAATAAAACCCTTGTATAAGAATGTGATATATGGGATATGTCTAATTTTAGACCTGTATCACTTTTAACCTCTTTCTCAAAAATATTTGAAACTATAATATATACAAGAACTTTAGAACATCTTAATAAGTATATCCTAAGTACTGACCAATATGAATTTAGGAAAGGATTAAAAACAGATAATACAATTTACAAATTGACTACAGAGATTCTAAATTCTATGAACAACAAACAATTAGTGGCAGGAGATTTTTGGGATCTGGAGAAAGCCTTTGACTGTGTCGATCATGATATCTTGTTGTCCAAACTTAAATTTTATGGCATTACTGGGAAAGATCATGCACTTTATGAATCTTATTTAAGTAACAGATATATTAGAACAGTAATACATAAAAGTGATGTGAATACAGTATCCTCAGACTGGCTTATTGTTAGGCAGGGAGATGTGCAAGGGTCTGTATTAGGATCTTTGTTGCTTCTCTTATATATAAATGACTTGCCTAAAATATTAAACATTTTCTACAGCTATAATTTCTGCCGATGATACTAGCATCTTATTTTCACATTCTAATATAAATGATCTTAACAGGAATATTCTTATAACAACTGAAATCTTAAATGGATTGTTTAGCGCTAATAAATTATATTTAAACTTTAACAAGACACACTGTATTCAATTTAAAACTAAGACAAAAATTTCTGATACTTTTACAATAAATCATAATAATAGGTTTATCAACAGTACCCTCAGTACTAAATTCTTGGGAGTTATAAGTGATAGCGCCTTAATATGGAAGAATCATATGATTTACCTGTAAAAAAAATTAAGTAAGGCTTGTTATGTCATTATAAATATGAAATATTATATGTCTATTTCAGCTCTGAAGGTAATCTATTTTCCTTTCTTCACTCTTTAATAAGCTATGCTACCATCTTTTGGGGAAACTCATCTCATAGGCCTACTATTTTATTTCTCCCAAAAAAGGCGATCAGAGTGATGTTGGGATATGGCAATAGAGTTTTGTGTAGAAACGTATTTAAAGAGTTAAATATTTTATCATTTGCATCACAATATATATTTTCATTGTTAGTATTTGTATTGCAAAATAAAGTTCTTTTTCCATCAAACACTGATTCTCATACTTTTATTATTAGACAAAGACAAGATTTGTATCTACCTCAAGGTAATTTAACTATTCATCAAAAAGGAGTTTATTATGTGGGTAAAAAAATATTTAATAAATTGCCCACAGAGATCAAGAACACATCTTAAAGCAAGCTCTGTTTACATCAGTTCACCACTGAATCATTTGTGTAATCAAACTTTGTCATCATGGATTTTTCCGCAACGTTTAAAATATACTGTAGTGAAACCACCTTTTAAAAAAGGCGAGAGAAAATGCATTTCGAACTACAGACCAATATCCATACTGATTTCATTCTCAAAAGTTTTTGAAAAAGTTATATATAACAGATTACTTGAACACTTAAATTCTAACAACATATTAGTTAAAGAACAGTTTGGGTTTAGGAAAGACCAAACCACAGAAAAAGCAACCTATGAACTAACCAAAAATATTTTAAATGCTCTCAATAACAGATTAATAGTGGGAGGGATTTTCTGTGATTTAGCAAAAGCTTTTGATTGTGTAAATCATGATATCTTACTATTGAAATTAAATTTCTATGGAATAACTGGCAAAGCTAATGAATGGATCAAATCATACCTCAAAAATAGGTACCAAAGAGTGGAGATAAAAAGTAAAAATTCCAGTTCTAATGCATTTTCAAACTGGGGAATCATAAAACATGGTGTTCCACAGGGATCAATTTTGGGGCCCCTGCTTTTTCTGCTTCTCTAGATAAATGATTTATCAAAAACCATCAACAATAAATCTAAACCAATTCTATTTGCAGATGACACTTTAAAAATGATATAAATTTTGTATTTGAAGCTTTAGATAGATGGTTTGAAGCCAATAAACTCTCACTAAATTTTGATAAAACCCATTACATACCATTCTCAATTAAAAACAGCCACCAAATTGATCTGGTCATCAGTTATGCCAACAAATTAATCTGTAAAGCACCTGATATAAAATTCCTTGGAATACATGTATACAGTACTCCGTCTTGGAAAATACATATAGAACAAACTATACCTAAATTTAGTGCAGCTTGCTATGCAATGAGATCGATTAAGCCCTTTATGCCACAGGAAACATTGAAGATGGTTTACCATGCCTACTTTCATTCTATTATGAACTATGGATTAATATTCTGGGGGAACTCTTCACATAGTGTAAAAATTTTTAAGATACAAAAGAATATAATTAGCATCATTACAGAACGTAGAAGTAGAGATTCATGTAGATTTATTTAAGAGATTAAAAATTCTACCTCTTCAATCACAATACATATTATCGCTTCTCTTATTTGTTGTATACAACAAAAATAAATTTGAATTAAATTCCAATATCTATAACATGAATACTAGACAAAAATATAACTTCCATCTACCTTCATCAAACTTATCACTATATCAAAAAGGAGTCTAC